ATGAGACAAAGATGCCCACTCTCCCCACTCCTATTCAACATAGTACTGGAATTCCTAGCCAGAGCAATAAGGCAAGAAGAAGAAATAAAAGGAATATAAATAGGTAAAGAAACAGTCAAAGTATCCCTATTTGCAGATGACAACATGATCCTATACCTCAAAGACCCAAAAAAACTCTACCCCAAAACTCCCAGACACCATAAAAAGCTTCAGAAATGTAGCAGGATACAAAATCAACTTACAAAAATCATTAGCTTTTCTATACACCAACAATGAACAAATTGAGAAAGAATATAGGAAATCAATTCCATTTACAATAGCCTCAAAAAAAAAATCAACTGCCAACAAATAAGCTTAACAAAGGATGTAAATGACCTCTGCAAAGAGACCATTTTTTCAGACCACTGAAGAAAGAGATAGAGGAAGACTACAGAAGATGGGAAGATCTTCCATGCTCATGGATTGGCAGAATCAACATAGTAAAAATGGCTGTACTACCAAAAGCAATCTATATGTTCAGTGCAATTCCCATCAAAATCCCAATGACATTCATCACAGAGATTGAAAAATCTACCTTAAGGTTCATTTGGAAACACAAAAGACTGTGAATATCCAAGGCAATACTGAGCAAAAAGAGCAATGCTGGAAGTATCACAATACCTGACTTCAAACTATACTACAGAGCCATAGCAATAAAAACAGCATGACACCGGCACAAAAACAGATATGAAGACCAGTGGAACAGAATAGAGGACCCAGATATGAATACATGCAACTACGCCCACCTTATTTTTGACAAAGGCACCAAAAACATACAATGGAGAAAAGACAGCCTCTTCAACAAATGTTGCTGGGAAAAGTGGTTACCTGCCTGCAGAAAACTGAAACTAGATCCATGTTTATCACCTTGTACTAGTATCAACTCAAAGTGGAACAAAAACTTTAATATCAGACCTGAAACTTGCAATTAGTACAGCAAAGAGCAGGAAATACTCTGAAAGCAACAGGTATAGCAAGGATTTCCTCAGTAGAACTCCAACAGCCCAGCAACTAAGAGAAAGGATGGACAGATGGGACTACATGAAATTAAAAAGCTTCTGCACATCAAAAGAAATGGTCTCTAAATTGAAGAGACCACCACAGAGTGGGAGAAAATATTTGCTAGCTATACATCAAAGGATTGATAACCAGAATACACAGTTCAAAAACTAAATTTCCCCCAAATCAATGAACCAATAAAGAAGTGGCCAACTGAACTAAACAGAACTTTTTCAAAGGAAAAAGTCCAAATGGCTAAAAAAAATATGAAAAATGCTTACCATCCCTGACCATGAAGGAAACACAAATCAAAACCACACTAAGATTCCACCTCACTCCTGTTAGAATAGCTATCATCAAGAACACCACCACCAACAAATGTTGGCAAGGATGTGGGGAAAAAAGGAACACTCATACTCTGCTAGTGGGAATGTAAGCTAGTCCAACCACTTTGGAAAACAATATGGAGGCCTCTTAAAAAACTAAACATAGATCTGCCATATGATCCAGCAATACCACTCCTGGGGATATACCCAAAGGAATGCGACTCAGGTTACTCCAGAGGCACCTGCACACCCATGTTTATTGCAGCACTATTCACAACAGTTAAGCTATAGAAACAGCCAAGATGTCCCACTATCAATGAATGGATTAAGAAAATGTTGTATTTATACACAATGCAATTTTATTTAGTCACAAAGAAGAATGAAATTTTGTCATTCACAAGTAAATAGATGGAATTAGAGAACATCATCTTAAGTGAAGTTAGCCAGGCTCAGAAGGCCAAAAATCGCATGTTCTCCCTCATATATGGATTATAGACCTAAAACAAATGCAGTAATATTATTGGACATGAGGCACACACTAAGGGGAGAATGCATATAGGAGGAATAGGGAAAGGGAAGGAAACCTAAGACTTGAATGTGGTTGATGTGCTCACTGAAGAGGAGTGAATAAAGAAATCTTAAACTGGCAGAGGCCACTATGGAAAAGGGACTAGGAAGTAGTGAAGAAGTCTGGTAGAGAGGAACCAATTCAGATTGTAATACACTTGTGCATGGAAACAATGCTAGGAATCTATCTGTATAGCTATCTTTATCTCAAACTAGCAAAAACGCTATGTCTTTCTTATTATCTCTTATGTCTACTCTTCAACAAAATCAGAGAACAAGAAGGGGGAACAGGTTCTGCATGGCAGCAGGGGTGTGGAGGGGTGGGGAGAAAACTAAATAAAAAAAAATTTGCAGATGATTTAAGTAGACAGTGAAGATTTGGATCATTTAGTACAGTGATGTGAGCCATCAAAAAAGAGGCTGTAATAATCAACTAAAACGTCTGTCCTTTATAAAGTCAGGAATAAGGACATAATATTATACAGTGTGTGATTTAATCAATGCTAAGTGTCCAGTGTTTAATTGAATTTTATTGTTCTTGTGTTCAAACTGTAGCCCTCTCATTGTTATTAGACAATTAATAAAAGAATTTTTAAAAACCCATTTTAATCAAGAAAAGAAAGTAAAATTTCAGACTCCCAGAAACATTTCAAATGTAAATTCTACAAATCTTCAAAATGACTGAGGTTAGGAAGAACTATGATTTGCAGTTGCTTCATAATTGTCACTGAGCAATAGCCCTGAGATTAGTTTTTATATACCAGGAATAACAATAGCACAGCTTCATCAACAAATCACTACAAAAATCTTACTAAGCCATTTATGGACAATGCCCAATCAAGGGCTTGGTATTTTGGGCCCTTTTTCTACAGGATCCTTTCCTTTAACACTGAGGATGATGTTTACTTTAACATCTATTTTAAAATTATGCGTTGTTTATTCTTTTTTTTTTTTTAAAGAAGTACAAGCTGTGCAGGTGTTCTTGGCTGAAGAGTAATTTAAATAAGCCCTCTGGGTTACCTTGCATATAAGAAGGCTTTATGAGATTTAATCTTTTCTAAACCTGTTATGTTCTTCAGTTCAGCAGAGCTTCCTAGTTGTAGCTATTAGTTCCCCTTTTTGTGGTCTGTTCTGTCAATAGATTATTGAGTGTTCGGTAAATTAAGCCCAACCAGCAGCCAACACATCAAGACAGACGTTAAACCACAGTTTGGCTGCTCTTATTCATTATTAGTATCTGTGAAATAGCTTTTAAGCACAGGGACAGGATTGAACACGATGCACATTTGTGTCACTCTCAAATTTCCATACTGTACAATCAGGTATGTAGGGGATTTTTTTCTAGACAACAGGTGTGTTCTTGGAACAAAGTTTAACTCCCACTTCTGGCTTATGTGAGAGGCGGCAGCTGCAAGCTTAATGCCAGTGACACATGGTTCTGCATGGAGGAAAAATAAGCTGCTTGTTCAAAGTATTAAAGCGACCGGCAGATGGACTATAGCTGCCTCCACTCTGCTTTGTGCTGTAGAGCCAGTGTCTAAATTTCCAGATGACAAGTGTGTCTCTCGTCTTTTTTTCTTTCTGCTTTTTTTCTCCCTCCCTCCCTTCCTTCTTTCCTCCTTCCTTCCCTCCCTTCCTTCCTTTGTCCCTTCTTTCCTTCCTTCCTTCCCTCCTTCCTCTCTCCCTCACTTCTTTTCCTTCCTTTCTTCTGTTTAAATCTAAAGTTCTTTAAACATTACATACTTATTATTGAGAATATTTATTCATTAGAGTCATATGGTCTGCTGAATAGGAAGAAAAAAACCTTAAGTTAAGTCAAGTTATACATTACAACTCACTTCATTCTAACAGGAATTTAAAGAAGACTTAGTATGCAATTCTTACATTTTTAAAAATGCACTTACATATTATAAGTCTCACTTTCTCTACTTAAAAACTTCTATGTAGAATTTTGTGAGAAATTACTAATAAAAGTGAAGATGTACTGTGTACCCCAGAAGTATGATGTCAACATTAACTAATGGTAATGTCACAGTAGTTACTGTGACAGTGCTCAAGACAGTAGGTGTTCATCAATCACTCAAGCATCTCTTCTCACATATTGGGGATGATATTCCTTTGTGTATGTTGGTTTTTCAGGTATGTTCATATCTCAGAATACAGAAGTTGAGCCACTAACTTGCTGCATATGTTTTTTGTTTTGTTTTTAGTTCTTGAGACACTATTTTTCTGTGTAGCTCAGGTTGGCCTCGAACTTGCAATCCTCCTGCCTCAACCTGAGTTGCTGTGATTACAGGCACACACCAGCAACCCAGCTGCATAGGAGGATTCTTTAAACAAAAACACCATGAAAAAGAGCAGACCAGCGTAATGACAGAGCTGTGTGATATATATGAAGTGGACATGTCTTAGGACACAGATGTTCCTGGAACTCAAGTAGAACAAAGCTTCCCCTCTTTCACCAGTGGGCATTTCAACAGAAACACTGAATAAAAATGAAAGTCATCACAAGGATCTTTGTTTTTCTGAGCTATGGCAAACAAACACATTGTGATGTGGTGAGATGACTCCTTAATGACAGTCATGAAAACTCTGGCAGAAGCAGAGTCCTCAGGTCCCCTGCAGGACTTGGGCTGGGGAGGAGCAAAGGGAAAATCCTTTTCACTTCTTTTTCTTAACCACAAAGCACACCTTTTTTTCAGGATTCAGGTTTTCTGGGAATCTATAAAGAAAATGGTTTTGCCAGTATTGTCCCACTACTAATAATACTAATACAAACCCATAAGCAGATGGGTTTGGAATTCAATCTCATGATAAACAAAGGCCAGTAAAAAAGAACCTGGTGATAAATCCCTTTTTAAAAAGGTTTTAATTGGCTTTACTTATTATATTTTCACTAAATACAGGGAAATACTGACTAACTTCAAGAATAATGCTAATATTTAAAAATGTTCAAAAAGCAGAACCAGAGCCGGCCTAGAAATCTTGGAAAATCTCTTTCAATTAAGGAATTCTCTAATTCTATGATTTTGCTTATCCTCAGGCTACACTTTTTAAAAAAACGTGATAAGATACAGATAATAAAATTTACCATTGTAACCATTTTTAAGTGTATAGTTCAGGAAGGTTAAGTATTTTCACACTGCTGGGTACACAATCTTCAGGACTCTTTCACCTTGGAAAACTGAAACTCTGCACCTGTTAAATAACTCCCCACTTCCTCCCTCCTCCCAGCTTCTGGCAACTGGCATTCTACTTTCTGTCTCTCTGAAGTGGACTCTGGATACCTTGTATAAGTGGAATCATACACTGGCTTATTTCTCTTAGTATAGAGTCTTAAAAGTTCTCCCATTTTATAGCATATTAATGGGATTTCCTTCCTTTTTAAGGCTGAATAATATTCTACTGTAGGTAGATACCACATGTCCACTCATCAATTTATCAATTATCCACTCATCTGTTATTTCTACCTCTCGAGTATTCCGAAGAGGGCTGCTACAAACATGGTTATGTGATTGTCTTTGAAACACTGCCTTCAATGTTTTGGGATAACTACCCAGAAGTGAGATTGCTGGAGCATATGGTAATTCCATTTTTAGTTTTTTGAAGAACTTCCACAAGGTTTCTGTAATAGCTGTTCCATCTTACATTCCCACCAACAGTGCACAAAGGTCAGGATTTCCCTACATCCTTGCCAATACTTGCTACTTACTGGCTCTTATTGATAGTAGAAACATTCTATGAGGTGTGAGGTGATAGCCTCAGGCTGCATTTAGAAAAGAGAGGCGTCTGATAACTGAGTCATTTCAACCAACTTGTCCTCCGTCATCTGCCCAGTGTACTCGGTGGTTTCCCAACACACTTGGAACACGAGCCACATACTTTACTGTGACTGACACGACCCTGTTAGGATCCAGCCCCTTGCTATCCCTTTCCCTAACTCACCTTGGCCTCTGCTCTGCTGAGAACACACCAGTATGTTCCATCCCCTGGGTTTTACCCTGCTAGCTCCTCTACCTGGACCTCTGTCCCCATATCACCACATGGCTCACGTCCTTTCTCCACTCAGTTCTCTGCTCAAATGTCACCTCCTCAGACAATAGTGTCCCTGCTACCACACTTTCCATATCCTTTCCATATGCTTTCTTACTTTTTTTTGCAATGCCTATATTACCGGAATTAGTTTATCTAGTTATATATATCATCTATTTCCCATAATAAAATGATCATTTGGGGAGGGCAGGACTCACCTATCTTGTTCATCCCTGATGTCCTAGCTTCTGTAACAGTGCATTCTAGAAGTGCCTCCATCAGGAGCCACTGCAGGACAATTAAGTGAATAAATGCATAAATGCATAAATGAGTGCTTTGGCTACGCCTAGCTAGGTAAAGTAAAAAGAAAGTAAATAAGATCTCATGAGGCCACTAGAGTTGTCCAAGGCTGGGCTGACCATTCTGGACTGTCTACAGAGAACAGGGAGGGGAGTACTCACGTGAGTCTCCACATCACCAGCAAGGATCCTACTGTTCTTTAGAAACTCGGCCACCATACTGTTCATCAGCTTGTCAAAGGCTTCCACGGAGGGTGTCACACCTTTAGAAGAGGAACACTTTGTTATTCTCTGGTGGTTTCATGAAAGGCTGTGGCGGGGGGTTGGGGGGCTGTCTTGCTACAGGCAGTACTGAAGTTTAATATCATCATTGTCATCCTCACTAATTCATTCACTGTCATTCCTTCGCTCAGTCAATATTTACTTAGCACATCTCAATGGCTCAGGCAAACACTGTGTTCCTATTTTTCATCCTCCTGAGTAAAAACTAGCATAATATTATTTCATTCATTCTCCTCCAAGCCCAGATTGGTAATTAAGACCATCCTGATGTCACAGGTGAGGAAGCGGGTGACAGGCTAAACTTACAGACCAAACAACAGGCACATCCAGAACTGGACTGAGCTGGATTCATCCACATTCTCTACATTGCTTTTCTTCTTATTATTCTTTTGGCAATACTGCGGCTTGAACTCAGAGCCTCCACCTTGAGTCACTCCACCAGCCTTATTTTTGTGATGGGTTTTTTGAGATAGGGTCTCGCAAACCATTTGCCTGGGCTGGCTTCAGAACTGCAATCCTCCTGATCTCTGCCTCTGAGTAGCTAGGATTACAGGTGTGAGACACCTGGCGCCTTCCTCTACATTTCTTCTACAGCTACCTGCTCAGCTGTCAGACAACCCTACAATCACCAAGAGTGCCTGGAAATAGAAAGCAGAACTCTGGGCAAGAAAGCAGAGAAGGCTGAATTCATTCATTTTGTTCCTTCTTCATTTCCCAGGGGGAGGAGAGGTAGCCATGATGAGAATAAAAGTGACAGCTGAGCCAATACAGGTAGGGTAACTGGAAAAAAGAAAAAACCCTAAGTACCCGATTTTGTGTCCCTAATACTGAGAAACTCATCACTATGGGTTGCTAAAGTACAACCCCAAACCTAGCACTCCCTTTCTTTTATGGTACAAATATATCATCCATAATCACAAACTATAGGAGAAAGCTTCATTTTCCCAGTTGCCCATTTGCATTCCCAAAGGGTAATGGAAATGGCAATTGACAGCTCTCTGCACCTTCTTAGTCAAACTACTAAGCAGACTGTTGAATTCTTTTCAAGTTCAAAATCCGGTATGTTGACAACTTCTGCAGCACAGAAGTGTGCAAACCCAAAGATTCCTTATGCATCCATTTGCAAAAATATAAACTGTTTGTTGGGAAGAGAGAGACCTGAGAAGTCTCTGTGGAGTATTTATAGTGAGAGAAAGTTTTAGAAATGTGGTGGGGACCTGTAGCCAGCAGAAGGCACAATGATAAAAAGGAATACTTTCGCATTTCCTTTCATCACTGGCCTCGGTTCACACCTCCTCCGGGCAGCCTTTAATGATCTGTGCTTTCCACATACTGTGTCCTTTGAGCATGTCTTAATCAATGCATGTGTGGCTCTACATAGTAATGCATGGAGACCAAAGGTTCTGGAGATTTATGACTGTGTATAATTCATGTGAGGTTTTCCACACCTAGCACAGGGCTTGTCATGTGGCAGGAATGCAAAAACAGTCATTCAGCTGTTGAGCTGAACTTACCTGAGTGTCTGGGAAAAAAGCCCACATCACAAAAATAAAATACATCGTAACACCAGTATCATAATAGGGTAGTCTTTGATCTACGTATGTTATACATTCATAATGGATTGTGTTCCTTCTAAAAGTTTCTTTTAAAGTAAAAAAATTAACTTTAGTTAGTATAGTATATAATATAGTATAACTATGTTATATATTATAATATATAGTATTATAGTATACTATATAGTATATATAGTATAAGTATAATATAGTAATGAATTTTTTTTTTGGTTTTTAGAGACAAAGTCTTGCTATATAGCTCAAGCTGGCCTCGAACTCACCATCATCTTGCCTTGACCAGCCTCCTGAGTGCTGGGATTATAGATATGTACCACCATGTCCAGCTGAAAGGTGTACTTAAGTATTAGTTAAAGCTACAATTTAGAGAACTACCAAAATTTACTAATCATGAAGAAATTAAAATGATGTTGTTTAGGATTAAACAGAATGTACTCAGGATGGATATCATTCAGACATTTCACTGACCTACTTCCTAATTACCTTACTTCATCTCAAGTAGATAAGAAACTGTTCCCAAGTTTGTTTTAGAGGGCCTTTGCTTTAATAATTGGTTTTAAATAATCTGTTAGACTAGAAAATACGGATTTAAACACAAAATAATTTAATTATATGCCCTCCAGTCTTAAAACTATTAATTTCCTCTAAAACATTTCTTTTTTAACAAATAAAGAAAATACAAAGTTCAGTCTACTACCTCTTTGTATAGGGGAGATTCAAATTATTGATGCTCTTTGCCCCTTTATTCAACAATACTATAAAATCTCCTAGAATGCTGGAATTTAACTTTAGTTTGTGTTTTCATAGGCTTTGTGTTTGTGGTCAGCAACCTTAAAGAAATGTCTATAATCACAATGTCATAAGGCATCAGGAAACAAGGTTGCTGAAGAGAATATGAAAATACTTCCTTACAGATAAGGCTCAGGAGTCCCATATTCCAACTATATAGCTAACAAATCAGGGCCTTAGAATGAAATCACAGAGGTGCCGTAGTTGGTGCAGGACTCTGGCAACCTTTCCTTCAACACCACCCAAAGCTTTCAACCCACCAAAGTGTTTTCATTTGCACTGTGTGCTGGGGAAAAGACACAGCCAGCACATGTGTGCTCACACGGTCACTTTTGTACTGTGGTATGGGAACACGAGGCACAGCTCCAAGTAAACCAGAAGTTCTAGAAGCACTAATGTAGGTCTTTCCTAGGGAATGAGATTTTGAAGCCTTCTCTCCCTCCCAGGTTTTTCTCAGCTCCCAAAAGCCTGACAGGATTAAAAACGGGTCAGATAAGGAGGAGCTGCCTGTGGGACAAGAATAGAATTGTCATATTAAATACAGATTGCCCTGGTAAACTTGAATTGCAGAGAAGCAATGAATACATTTTTAGTATAAGTTGTGTACCATGCAGTGTAGCCCATGGAGTATTTGGGACACAGCTATACATAAAAAAAATGTTTATCAGAAATTCAAATTTAATGGGTATCTTGTCCAGTGTTTTTAGTTGTTAAACTATAACCTGACATAAGAAGGAACTGGAAAAAAATTATTGTAAGTAACTTGGAGAGTTTCTTTTAAAGGATGTAGCTAACTTTTTACTTTTGATCCTACAATTTTTAATTTTTTTTCTTTTTGGTGGTATTGGGGTTTGAACTCAGGGCCTCATACTTGGTAGATAGGCACTCTTGCTGCTCGAGCCACTCCATCAGCCCCTAAAAATCTTTTTTAAAAGCATGGTCAGCTTAGTTTTAAGAGCAGATCTGATTGGACCATGCACAGGTGAAACAATCAGATGACATCAGTCATCTGTGTCCGCTTCCTTCAGATGTGCAGTTCTGTATGTAAAGACTTGTTTTCCTTAAAATTAAAGTCTACAGCATACTAACTTCCTCCAATTTACATTCTAATCGGGAACATTCGTTGCTTTTTTGGATAATTAGCTAGATAATATATTTAGTCATTGAGTGTTGGAATAGTAATATAAACACTGAAATGAAAGAACAATGCTATTTAGTCATGGATTATACTCTTAAAAGGCATAGAGGTTGATAATTTTTGTGGACTCAGTTGAAACTTTTAAAATTTATTTTTTAATTGGGGCATAAAAATTGTATGCATCTATAAGGAAAGAAAGCTTATCTGTTCTTTCTCTTCGTCAGGGATTGCATGCCTGTGGTTGATGTTATGGCCACGTAGAAAGGAAGGAGGGAAGCTGAAGAAAGTGGTAAACACATGTTTGGAGAACTAAATGATGAGGACAAAATTAAGTGACCCATATAGAGACCAGTAATGACAGCAGTGTGGGTCCTACCTCCGGTGACACCATTAACCTCCCCACAGTCCCCAGGAGGCCTGTGTGACTCTGCAGACAGCAGCTCCAGCCGGCTGACCACACGTTCTAGTCTCTCCACCAGTCCCTGCAGGTCTGCCATCCTGGAAGGACACAGGCACAAATGAAGCCACGTGAGCACCAGCGAGGTTAACTAACCAACTCCAGCAGCGAGACGAAGACAAAAACCACTCAGAATGGCTTTAATCCCCTAAGACTCTACCCATCAGGAAATGTGGAAAATGCAAAACATAAACATAAAAGTTGGAACAAAAAAAATGACAGATTGAGCTTATTTTCTACCCAATTCACTGACTTTTTTTTTTTTTATGTGGTACTGGGGTTTGAACTCAGAGCCTACACCTTGAGCCACTCCACTAGCCCTTTTTTGTGATGGTTTTTTTTTTTTTTTTTCCCCAAGATAGAATCTTGAGAACTTTTTGTCCGGGCTGGCTTCGAACCATGATCCTCCTGATCTCTGACTCCTGAGTAGCTAGGATTACAAGTGTGAGCCACTGAGCCCAGCTGATAAATCTATATGTCATTTAGCAGGCAAAGAGAGACCATCACCTCTGAGTGCTAATTGTTGTCCTCAGCTCATTTCAATGTTTCTGTTGCTGAATTATTTCAAAGAGATTCTGAATGTTAGGGATTTTGATTTAAAACATTAAATATAGTTATTTTCCATGTGTAAGGCTGCTTGTTATTGTTTGGCAAAATTTAGTGGTGGGTGAGCTGAATTTTCAGGATGGCATCTTCAGTTACCCAGAATCCTTTAGCTGAAATAAATAGGTACTGACACTAATTAAAAGATTGGGGATAAAAGTGGGGCTGGATATCCATCCTTCCTGCTTCAAACACAAATTTAAGTGAGTGTGTGTATGATCCTTTAAATGACTGGCCCTAGGAATTACATTTGCACTCCTCTGAGGAATGGAACCCATATAATTTGGCCATGTTCATAGTCAATACTTATAGGCACCATGACTCTGGTCATAATCACTTATGACTGCCTTTGCCCAGTCAGCCTGCTGCTGCAAAGAAAACAAAATGTGGTTGCCTTAGACAGCGTCTGCAGTCCTTGCTCCTCAGAACTTTCCAGGCATCATTCTGATCAAGAGGAGCTTCTGAATCAGGCACCCCTGCCTAACGCACGGGGGAAGTTTCATTGCTCTGAGATGTGTAAACATTTTATATTTCTCCTGGGAACCAGGGGAACGTACTTCTCTTTTGTATTTTGTATTCCATTCATGTTAAGCTTAAATACAATGATGACCGGCTGCTGCGTTTTTCACAAGCAAGGTTAAGTGCACCAAAAATATGGGTTTATCTGTGTGATTCTGCATCCAAATGTCAGTCATCAGAGATGAAGGCAGAGCTTGCCGTCTGTTTTGGAAAGCCATCTCTCCCAAAGTGCCAGCAGCGACTCTTTCAAAATATGGAGCAGCATTCTCTGTGCAGCTGAAATCAGCATTGAATCCCAAGGGGATTCAAAATTAGAAGTTTCTCATCTATTCTTTCCTTCTTCACGTCACAGCTTTTGATGCCATCTCAATTGAAGCAAAAAAAAAAAATAGGAAGGAGAAATTTAATTGAATCCTTTACATAATCTTCTCACAAGGGAATTGGGTATCTTGGAGGTGGGTGAAGGCCATTTGAGAAATGATGAAAGCCCCTCAAATCTTTTAATAGTTCCCCATCTGTTCACAGTTATCTCTGTTCCCCGTTACTCAACCTGCCAAATGTTACCACCATGGACCTTGTCCCTGATAGGAAAAAAAAATGTGTTTGCTTTGCAAGCAAGCTGCATAACCCCACCCCAGCAAAAAGCAGCAGCCGCCTCCAGCAGCTCACAGGTCATGCTGTTTTGGGAAGGCCTGTTCCATTTCACACTTAGGACTGCTGTCGGACTGTGGCCTAATCAGACTCCTGACAAGACCCAACCTCATGCTATCTAATGGTGAGTGCTCCATATGTTGGAAGACGACAGGAGTTCGCCATAAATGGCAGGGCTGGATAGATTGCTATGGAATGCAGTTGAAAAGCCACTCAGATGTCACTTCATGTGAAATCACCACGAGCAAGACCTAAGACCTCCTGTAGCTGCTAAAGAGATTGAAATATAGTTCATCCAAAAAAAAAAAAAACAAAACAAAAAAACAGTTCATACACGTAAGCTGGAAAGATGTCTCTGGGTTTAAATTTTTTACAACAGTTCTAAGAGAAACTGAAAAGTAAATAAAAGAAAGATACATTACCAGGGTGACTGATAGGCTCTCTCTCTCTCTCTCCCTCTCCCTTCTTCTTTTTCCCTCTCTCCACACAGGCCCTCAGCGGCTCTTCTGGCCCTCAAGAATGAGGAAAGAGCACAACTACACAACTTCAGATTCTCCAAATTCTTCGGAGGCAGTCCCATTCACCTTGGCTTTTCAAAGGGCACTTAGCCAAGCTTTGACAGGAGCTAGGCTAATTAAGAATTATGTTGTGGCTGGTCACAGTGGTGCATACCTGTAATCCCAGCTACTCTGAAGGGTGAAATTGGGAGGATTGTAACTTGAGGACAACCTTGGCAAAAAGGTTAGTATGACCCATCTCAACAAAGCAGCTGTGAATGGTGGTTTATGCCACAGCCATGGGAGACATAAGTAGGAGGATCACGGTCCAAGGCTGGCCCTGGGTAAAAAATGTGAGACCCTATCTGAAAAATAACTAAAGCAAAAAGGGCTAGAGATGTGACTCAAATAGTACAGCACCTGTCTAGCAGGTGTAAAGCTCTGAGTTCAAACCCCAGTACTGTCAAAAAAAAAAAAAAAGGAGAAGAAGAAAAGAATCAACCATTCTTAATTTATTTTAGCTATTTCTTTTGGTTATTACCTCCTTATCTCTAAATAGCATCATGTCTTGTTTGTTTTTCTTCAGTCTGAGGCATCGTCCACTGAGTCCCCACAAAGAAGAAGAGTGCAATCACTTTTCTCTTGCCGATCCCTAAGGCCCCTCAGATATGCAAGCCTGTGTTGTGTGACCCTTTCGATAGCAGTCTTTCATAATTTTATGTGATCAGCATTCAGCATTAACACAATTAAGGCTATTCACATCTGAGTCGTGAAGTATGCTAAGATTATTTTCCATTTCTTTTGTACTACCTGTTGTCCTAAAGTTATTTTCAGCTTCTCAGTTTTCTATATACTTAAAAATTCCTCATCTTCAAGCTCTGACTTCAGTTGCTGGGCCTCCATTCAAGAGAGCCAAATCACAGTGGGAACTGTATCAGTGTTTCTTCTCAGATGTGTCTCGTCAGATTTTCTCCCATTTGCATGACTCTGTAATGCTGCCCCTCCGTAACCTGGGGTTTGCTGTCACCTTTTTGCTTCTTTTTTTTTTTCCAGTGCTAGGGTTCAAATTCAGGACTCTGCCCTTGGGAGGCAGATGTCCACCCTCAGGCAGCCCACGCTCCTGCCTGCACCTAAGCACTCCCTTCTTCCTCTCATGTTGGACGTCCTCCTCCTGGTCTGTGTCTCCCCTTTTCTGATGGACTTCCTTAATTGGGAAGAGCCATCTTCTTTTGGGAAAAAGGTGCAGGAAAGGTCAGTTTTTTGACCTGCATGTCTGAAAATCTTTTTTTAAGATAATTTTTACAATTTTATTTTTATTTTTTAATTTTTTAAATGCTTATTATATTACTGTTATATTGGGGGGGTTCATTGTGGCATTTGCCAAAGTTCTTACAATTGTATCACCGTTAAACTTACCCCCTCCATCATTCTCTTTTATCCCACCTCCCTCCATTCCTGGAACAGTTTCAACAGGTCTCATTTTTCCGTTTGCATACATGAACACATAACATTTCTACCATATTCACCTCCTACACCCTTTCCTTGTATCCTCCCTTCCCTCATTTATTGTGCCTCACCCTTGGTTGATAGTTTGGCTGAGTACAGAATTCCAGGCTGAAATTTTCCCTCAGAAGTGTAGAGGTATTGATCCACTGTCGTCAAGCTTTCTATTTTGCTGTTAAGAAGGTCCAGAGCCATTCTGATTCTTGATCCTATGGATATAACCCGTCTCACCCCTCTGAGAGTTTCTGGAATCATCTTTTTCTTTTAATCAATTAATTAATTAACTAATTAATTTTGATGGGACTGAGTTTTGAACTCAGAGCCTCACTTGAGTCACATTCCAGCCTACTTGTTTTTTACTTTTTTTGAGACAAAGTTTAACTGTGCAGCTCAGGTTGGCCTCCATCCTCCTGCCTCAGCCTCCGGAGTGCTGGGATTATAGGTATGTCCCATCACAATCAGCTGTCTCCCCAGTGTTTTGAACTTTATAATCATATGTTTTGCTATCAATCCATCTTCTTTATAAGTGATTTTCAAGAGGTGAAGAAAAAACAGATGAGCCTAGTATGTCTCTGGTTGAGTTTGTAAATCATTGTTATATGAATACACTGAAAGACTATAGCCCATCAGTGTTCTCTCATACCCTATCCTGGAGTCATAAGGTATCCTGGAATTAAGAGCACATTTTCCAAGGAAAAAAGATGGTTATTATTGCTTAAAATTTCCTGCTTCATTGATCATTTTGTAAAACCCATTCTCAAAGTACAGAACTTAGTTCAGTGTCAGTGTCTCATGTTATGCTCACAGCACAATGTCCGTGCAGAAACAAAGGCTATTTCTACCATTTTTTTCATAACAATTCCCAGAAAAGGAGAGTTCCACACAGTTAAATATGGCTGTGCTCCTTTTTAGCTGGGACAGTATAAAGAGGCCGTGACTGTGAAATCACACATGCCTGGGTTTGTACTCTGGCTCTTGTTAGCTAGGCAACTTCAGGAAAAGAGTTTAATTTTGCTTTGCTTTCCTATAGCCTTGCTACAAAGTTATATAAAGTCTGGAATGTGGTCACTGTTAAACAATTAGTAAGACATTCTATTTCATTTTGCCCTCAGTGGCAATAGTTACAATACTTAAAACGTTAAGTAGTCATCGAGAAAGTCTGGTCAATGGAAAAGACTTTTTTTTTTTAATGTTTCATTTTTTTTCTGTCCATTTACTTATTCTTCCAATATTTCTTACCAAGATTTTCTCAAGTCTATGTGTAATGA